ACTTGTAATTTTTCAATACCACATTAAATTAAATATCATATCTATAAAGACACTATATATATTTTCTAGTAGTTATATTGGAAAATAATAAATCTATAACAACACTATAATTTGGAGTAGTAGTTATTCCATCATAAATAATATTCCGCATGTAATAATATATTATGGATTAGTATTGGAATGAGAACTAAACAAATTTTAATCAAAAGAAACAAGACTAAGAGAGACATGAAATATGATAAAATTACACTAGGGAGACTAAGGACTAAAAGGTTTTAATTGGGTTTGGCTATTACATAGCATTAGAAATTTAAAATAACATATTAATTTCAAACGGGACACCGGGATGGGACATGATATTTTATAGCTATCCCGGTCCCGTCCCGGTTAATATCGGTGCGGGACCGGTTCAGGATGAAATAGTTGCGTCCTAAATGGATCGGGATAGTTTCGGAACGGTATCGGGATTTTTCGGTTTGGGACACCGGGACCGGGATTTTTGCCCACCCCTACTGGCAATGCCCAGATTAACAAAACTATAAGGAACATTAAGAATCTGGACCCAAAACTCAGCTTCGTTTAAGATAATTTTGTGTGGGATATCATCAGGCATAACTTCTTTTAACATTACCAGACTACGTTCAAACTGCCAAGGACCTCCTGTAACACCGTCCCCAAATGTATTACTTTTAAGTGAATAATGTATTGAACCTTATGGGATGGTTAATGAGTATACGAAGTTGTGAATTTTTAATATTTCTTTTGCGTGAATAGTAAATTCGCACGTGGGACCCACACCGGGAGCGAGGCCGCCCGATATTCCCGAGACCGTATATTTTATTCAACTTGGTCGAAATAAGATTTATATAGAGTGGATAATTTATTTGGTCCAAAGAAATGACAAAATGTGGACCGATTGGTCAAAAGCGGCTCAATTACTGGTATTGGTAATTTAACGGATAACAGCCCGAAATTGGATTTCGGAGACCTATAAATTAAAGTTGGGGGAATGTATATTCACTATAAGGGTCATAATGATTGGGAACACGTAATATATTTTATTTTACCCGATAAAATAAAATGTATTTAAAACAGTCTGAAAAATACAACTTTCGGGACCGATTGTACACTTTGAGACACAAAGGGATGACCTCCCACATGAGTGGGGGGCACCCCGCGTTTTTATGTGCTAGAGTAGACAAATATGGGGCTGTTTGACTTGGAAGGAGAGGGGTGAGGTGATGAGCATCAAAGGTACACCCAGTGTTCTCAAAAGCGCCGAAAGGCGCCGCCTAAGCGGGCGTAGGCTCAAGGCGAGACCTAAACGCCTCGCATGGCTCTGATGCGCGAAAAAAGGCGGGCAAACTAGCCCAACCCACTAAAAAAATATTTTGACTTGCATATGGGCTGTATCAATGGAAGCCCATGCGCAGCTGATTAAGCTCGGGTTGTGCCCGGCTGTAGTTATCAATGCAATGACTCGTTTATATAGAAACTTGGAGAGAAGAGTCATCCGTACGTGGTCTTCCGGTGTGGGATAATTCTGTGAAGCAAAATTCCAACCTAGGATAACGGCTTGAGCAATAAGGGAGTATAACAACAGCTATGCTAACGTTAACAATAATAACTACGGAGTATAACTTAAACATCATTAGTATTGTTATTTTTGGTGTAATTACACCATTATTATCATCAAAATAATTTCAAATATATAAATACAACAAAAATATTCTGTAGTGGACAATAATGCGACATTAGTAACTTTAGTAACTATAATTGTATTGAAATTTTACATAGTAGTAATCATAAAACTTACACATAGTAAGTTATACATAGTAATAACATATCTATACAACGGTTTTTGTATTAGTCATATTTTAGGAAAAACATCTTCTTATTGTTGTTGTTGTTGTTACTACTACTACTACTACTACTACTACTACTACTACTACTACTACTACTATTATTATTATTATTATTATTATTATTATTATTATTATTATTATTATTATTATTATTATTATTATTATTATTATTATTATTATTATTATTATTATTATTATTATTATTATTATTATTATTACTACTATCACTATTATTATTATTACACTTATTGTTTGTAAACCTTTGTTTTATCATGGAACTATCCTACCAATTATTGCTTTTGTATAATAGATTATGTATGATTTTTAGAACTAATAAGAAGCTTAATTGTTTGTATATGTGCGTAAAAGTGTGTATCACATTTTCTCAACATTACATTACATATATATTCACTAACTACTCTATGAAAATTAAAATATTTAGTAAAAAACCGAAACGCCTTTTCACGTCTTTACCACGCCTAAACTCGCATAGGCTTCAAAGGCTTGAGGCTTGGTCTTCCCGCCTCGTCACGCCTTGCGCCTTTTAGAACACTGGGTACACCCATGACTCCATTTCCCTCACTCATTGGTCCAAACAAGACAAAAGCTATCCACCCCCCCCCCCCCCCCCCTCACCACCATCATTCATTCGTCCAGCACACCTCAAGCAAGAGAAAAACCTCCCAGAAAAATATCATCCTCCATAGCCAAGAACAAGCTCAAGCTCAAGGAGGTCCAAGGAGAAAGTTTAAAGAAAGAAAAAGGAGGAAAAGTGGGGTGTATTAAGGTAATGACCTCATAATGAGTTTCCTTCATTCCTTTAACCATCATATGACTTATATAGCATATGAAGAACCCTTGTTATGGTTCTACATATTCAAATATGTAGAAAATGGGTTGGAGAGTGGTTCTAAGTCCAAGAACGGGCTTAGAAGCCAAACCGACAAGTTCACCGGAAAATAACCTTTTAGAGGTTATTTGTATTGATTAAGGTTTCATGATGTTAAAACCTTGTTAGGAACTTGATTAAAGTATTTTTGAGCTTCGCCGGAGTTTCACCGGAGTTGGTCAAAGTTCGCCGGAGTTGGTCAAAGTTCGCCGGAATTAGTCAAAGTTCAATCGAGAAGCGTAGAACGCGCTTAAGCTCACTCAAGATGAGGATGACCGACTATATTGCTTATAATTATTGGGTTAATTTCATTAGATTACCTAAATGAATTAAATATGTTTGGCATGGTTTATAAATGATAAAAAGTGCCTAAATGAAATTAATATTGTTTATAAGTGAAAATGCATAATATACAAATTTATGAATAAATTGTGTATGATTATGTGTTATGAATAAAATGGCAAGATAGATGTATTAACCATGAATGTTCATTGTGATAAATATACTTTTACCTCATGCAAAGAAGTCATGGAAGGATAAAAGTGATATTTTGATATTAAAGTCAAACTATACTTGAATGTGGAGTTAAATTGAAATATACGAACTATTATGAATTTGCATTGGATATATTAAGATTAAACGACTAGTATAGAATTACTAGTCGGAAATAATAGTTCAATAGTCTTTGGAGAAAATCCCAAGATATTGGAGCTAAGTAACCTTAAAGGATATTTTTAAGGTGAACTTTATGAACCCAAGTTACATTAGGAGTAAGCCTTAAGGGTTACTCAAATGGATGGAGCCTAGACTAAGAAATTGTTTAGGATTAGATGACGTGACTATGAGCCGAGCTCTAGCACGTGGTAGTATGACTATGAGCCGAGCTCTAGCAAATGTAGTATGACTATGAGCCGAGCTCTAGCAAATGTAGTATGACTATGAGCCGAGCTCTAGCAAAATGTAGTATGACTATGAGTCGAGCTCTAGCAAAATGTAGTATGGCTATGAGCCAAGCTCTAGCAAAACGTAGTGTGACTATGAGCCGAGCTCTAGCACAAATTAGTATGACTATGAGCCGAGCTCTAGCATGAAGGAACGTGAGTTGATTATAAAATAATAACATCCTAGATTGAGGGTCTTGGAAATTGAAACTTTGATTATACTTAGTATAGTTGTCATTGTACTTGTCAAATGCTTCCAAGTACTGACCTCCCCTTCACGGGGGAGGCCACCTCACAGTTTCAGGTAGAACTCGAAGGTTGCTACCATCGCCGTTGCTTCGGGAGGATCCAAAAGGAGGAAACGTGGTTCGTGCTTCCTCCGTTTTCCATTTTACAAACATTTTAATTAATGCTCATGGATATTATTTTAAATATTTATTTGGGGCTTGTATGCCCAAGTTTGCCAAAGTGTGGCATGAACACTTGTATTAAATGTTTCCGCTGCTTTGAATGAATATTTTACATTATGTTTGTTTATGGATGTACTATGTGTGAACGATATTCCAGACGCCTTGTATAGTATGGATGTGTTGGACTGCGGTTGACTATTCGTACTGTACGGCGAATTGTTGACGTGTCCGGGTAGGTCCGGGGCGTGACACCTCCCTCAAGGACACGTTTCATATCAAACCTATGATTAAACGAAAATAGGTACCTTTTTCCCCCTGTTATTACCAGACTACCGACATGCCCTTCCCCGGTCGCCATAGTGAAAGCATCGTCTCTTTGAGATCAGGAAACTTGACTTTGCGATCAGTCAGTACCTGGCCGATCACCGGGAAGCCAATTGCCGTCTCCTCTGCTGGACTACCTTCAATCTCCCCTTCATCAAGATTCAGCTCTTCTTCGTCGTCCCCGATTGCCATCATCTTGTAGCGATCAACAACACTCTGCATAAATTATCTAAAAGCCTCTGTCGCGACCCTGTTATTATCGTCAATCGGCCGCCTTAGAACTTCGTGCCTCCCATTAATTAAAAGTGATGCCATTTTTTTGTTAATGACATCATATTTTTTATTGCAAATGGTTGCTTTATGTTGCTTTATTATTAATTTTTTTTTTGTTTATTATATTCGAGAATTGATTTGAATGCGTTCCTGATTGAAGTTTTAGCTGAAATTTGGTATGAGTAAATTGGATTTGATGAATGATGCTAAAAAAAATTTAATCACGGGAACCACTCCAAATCACGACGGTCGGACAGAGCCTTCTATTAAAGACTCATTTGACTCTTTTATAAAAGTTCGAGAACCTATTTAATTATTTTTCCTATATTCAATACACCCCTCCTACGATATAAAAATATCAAATTGATAATCATCTGTTTTGATTTCTGAATTAATAAAATTGGTATGAGACTAGTAATGGTGTCATACAATCTCCCTCCCCAGGAAGGCAGGAACTCAGACAAATCGGCGCATTTCGACTCTCCGAAGCTTTGTAATTTCGCCCAAATCCTACCACCACTCTGAAAGCCTTAATCGGCGCTCTTCAATCTTTGGTACTGGTAACTGGTGATTCGGTGTTCCACTACTCTAACCACTACCAGCTTCTTACACTCGCAGTGTTCTTTCTCCGGAAATCCCAGTTTCTTTGTGTTCGTCTCTGATTAGTATATGTTTATGATTCGTACCCTTATGCAAATTAGGTGTGTTTCAGCGTGTGATTGTGGTATATCTCCGTCATCTACTCAGCACAGTTGAAATTGAATTGGTATGGTGGCAAATTTTTATTTTTCCCCATGTGGTGAAGTTTTGGATACTGGAGTATAAACCATGTGAAAATTTCAACCCTTTTGTCTGAAATTTCACTAAATACAGGAGTATAAACAATGTGAAAAATCAAAAATAGTAGTACTATGTTCTTTCCTGTAAATTGGAGTGATTACTGAAATTACTGGCATTAATGCTTCTATATTAATGTATGGTAATGACAAAATATGTCCACGTGATTTCACGATTGAATTAATCCACTACTCTTTCAAGAAAAAAACATAGGACTCGTATTTTCAAATTTTACATTGTTTTCACTCTTATTTAGGGAACTTTCCCACTGTACTGTAAGCTTTTCTGTGTAAATTTGAAGTTCTTGCTCGTTCTTCTGTCTGCAGGATTGTGTTCTTATTATTGAATTCTAGTCTAGCTCTCTGTGATGGAAACCTCTGCTGAAGAAGAGTTGTCTGCATTTGAAGCGAAAGTGAAACGGACGGTGTATATTGACAACCTCTCACCACTGGTTAATGAATCAGTCCTTAGGTCTGCCTTTGGTCAGTTTGGGAATGTCACGGGTGTTCAGTTTATTCCCAATTACTTGGAACCAAATGAAACCTCAAAAGCTGCTTTGATTGAGATGGAAAATGCTAGGCAGGCCGAAGGGATAATATCTGACATCTCTAATTCCCCTTTTATGGTATCCGGGATGCCAAGACCTGTAAGGGCACTCCCTTCAGAAGCTTTGATGTTTGATGAGCGCCCGAGAAGACCGGGAAGGAAAATACACTGCCGTTGGTTGGAATCCGATGATCCTAAATACAAGGTGGCCGAGAAGCTTGTACACTTGACCAGGAGACATGCTGCAGAGGCCTCTTTCCTCCGAACGGTATAAGTTTCAATTCCGTTCTCTTCGTTTCACAATTTCCATTCTCATATTTTCAACTATGAGCACAATAACTGGGAATCGAGAAACGTGCGTTATTTTTTAATGTGTAGATATATTAAACTAAAGAGTACATGTGCGAATAATCAAATTTACTACGTATTATAACAATATAAATTTATCATGAACTCCATATTTTGGAATAAGTTAGCACTTTGCTATGCATGATGCAAAGATATTTTAAATACAACCCCCTCTAATGAATAGTTTGTTGATCATCCATACTTTTAGTGTCAAGAGCAAGAGGATAAAGAGCTTGCAATCCAGCAAGCAGAGGCATTGAAGTCCAACTACAAGAAGTATGAGCTGATTGACAATGTTTTTTCTGACAAAACCGTTCATAAGCTTGGAGATCGATATCATGTCCGTGTCTCAGATGCTTGAAGACTTGTTCCCATCCCAATCTGCAAGCTTGGTCATCTTATTCAAATGATGTTTTTGTTCGTGCGAGCGCATGTATTTAGTGATCTTTTGTCGTGATCATATTTTGGTTGCATGCTCTTTGTAGTTACTACGCAGTATCCTTTTTTTACTACAATATCAACTATGATCCACAAATCATTCAAGACGAGTGTTAGGATTAAAAGGATTTAAAAGGATCAAGCTATTATGACACAAATTAGTGATGGACCGGGCTGGGCTGGTTCCGGTTCGGACCTGGGCCCGGCCGGGCTTTTTTTTGGGAAGGGAGAACCGGAGCCAGCCCGGGTAGGCACGGTTCCGTGCCGGGCCAAACCGGTTCATGTTATTTTTTTTCTTTTGCTTTTCTAATTAACCCCCGACCCCCTTCACCCCCAACCCCCCCCCCCCCCCCCCCCAAAAAAAAACACCCAGCCCACCCGGGAGAAACCAAAAGAATTGAAAAAAAAAAGGCCTGGCCCGATCGGGCCGGTTCCACTTTTAGGAGGCCCGAGCCCTTTTAATCCCGGTTCGGGTGGCCCGGACCGGTCCTATGACCGGGTTCCGGGTTGGGCTGGGCTCAAACAGTACAGTTCCGGGTTGCCCGACCTGAATCCATCACTAACACAAATCAACTACGCACATTTAAAATTATTAACTTACATGTTTTTACTTGGACAAATTTCAATCCTAGACCAGAAAATTAAATCTAAGTAAAAACATCCATTTATTACTTTAAATTATGACTTAGGATTCCCATTAAAAAATAACACTATATTTCGGCAACATTATATTTTGAGAAGCAATTTGGGTGAGTATATAATGTAATGGAGTAAATGGTAATGTTTGTGACGTTATGGACTTATTAACGAGACAATGGATAACTTTTATTTGTGGAGGAAATAATTACTGAAATGTATCTTTACCTTAATACTCCGGTTCCTCCATGGCTCCATTGCAATTTGATTTGCGTTTTTTTAATTGTTTCAAAATGCTTTTCAACTTTCTCCTCTAAGAGGTGAAAAAATGACATATGCTCCTATACCCTTGCACTTTTTTGTCCTCATTTATGGAGATGCTCTATTAAGTCTCACCCATCCATGTACTGAAGTCTTATACGATAGTATTACTTGAAAACAATTGCCCGATCGGAAATTTGGGCGCTAAACAAAAGCAATTGAAATTATCAACATTTATAAAATCAACATATATCAAACTAGATCATATTAGACTTGAGATGACACATATATCAAACTAGATCATATTAGACTTAAACATGTATAAAGGCTGTGTTCGGCATAACTATTTCAGCTCAAAATGGGCTGAAGTCTAAAATTCAGCCTATGATTCGATAGGTATTAATGTTTGGAGGAAGAGCTGAAATGAGCTTAAGTTGATTTTAATGAACTGAATCAAAATGTTTGGAATGGTAACGTTTCCATTTAGCTGATGGAGCTGATACAAAAGGTTTCGAAATTGCCCCTAAAATAACGCAAAAATAGAGCTGATATGGCCTTCATCTTTATCAATGTTCAACATCTTATGATCGCTTGGGCGGCTACTAAATTTTTGTCATGTCGTGTATGAAATGAGGTTATAGAGTCAGATACGCGTATCGGTTCACGGATACAGGTATCGGAAGTACCGGTGTTTTTAAAAATAAGCTCGGTACTTTTATTAAATTACGGATACAGACTCAATACGTACATGACGTGTATCGGTTAATATCATCGAATAGGTATTAAATAAGCAGATACAGCATCGAGGTGGAGTATTGGTGCACCATAGGTGTTAAGTGGTGCACTATTTTAAAGCTAATTAACGTTGTTTTGTGTTGACGTTACTCAGAATATGCCATGTGCTTTGATAAGTTGATTCTATAGATGGCAATTTCGACCGACCCGCTAGATACCCGCACCAAACCGATTTGGTCAAACTGGGGAAAACCGGTTTGACTGGGGAATGGGTACGGGGCGGGGAATACCCGAAATTTTTAATGGTTAATGTTGCGGTTATGGTTCTATATTAATCCGCCCCGAAACCGCCCCGTTCACTAATGGTGCGGGTACCCGCACCGTTACCCGATCCGTAACATTATTAATGAATTATAACTTTTTATATATGAGAATAATAAGTATATATATGCTAAATTGTGTATACTAAATAGTATATATCATATAAATAATGCTAAAAAGTATACTACCTTTTTAGGCTTAAAACTAAATATAGGCCTAAACCTGTTTTTGAAATTTGGATTCTGGGACGATTACTATTTTTTTATTATGTTACAAGAGATATTAGGTGCATGTCATACTAATGAGTTTAGGCCAGTCTGCTTGATTGCTTAAATGTTTACTTTTATACAATATGTTTTAGGGTGCTTTGAATATATAAATAACAAGTAGGATTAAAAATTGGTTATTTGTTTTCCAAAAAAAATGGTTATTTGGTCTCATTTGGGTAAACGTTTACCTGTGGATAAACCGATTCCCCGTTGAGGCGGGTACGGACGTACGGTTCAAATAAAAATTACCCGAACGGATAATGGGGCGGTTTTGGGGCAAATATTTAGAGTGCAATTTTGTACACCCCACTAAGGAAGGTGAACATAACTCCCTCTATATCTACGATTGTCATGCCATTGTAAAGTATTGCCTTGCCACATGGCATGCAAATAGGGGTGGAGTGAACATCACCCTCTCAAAAGAGGGTGAACAAAATTGTTCTCAAATATTTACCCAACGGGGCGGTTTCGGTTTTATGTGTACCCGTCCCCAATCCGCCCGGTTGCCATAGTTGATTCTCCTGTGTTTCTATTCCATGTTTTTTTATCTCATACGGTGATACGGAGTATATTTTTATACTCCCTTTTTGTGTTATATACGGAGGAGTATATAAAATCAATAAGAGAATTTCCGTGAAGGGCCTCCCATATTCTGAAGACTCCAAGCTCAGTTCCGCCGTCGATGAAGTCAGTGAGCTTAGCTTCTTCAGCATTTTCCCCGATTATACCTACACAAGACCACGCCCTTAGGCGGCAAACCAATTTCGCCCAATCTTTGCGCTTTCCGTTTCTCATGTTCTCGTCGCCGCACAAGCACGTGAACGCGCCGCGGTCCATGGCGGCGGAGAAGACAAAAGAGAAAGAAGCGAAGCTATGGGGCGGGCGGTTCGAAGAGAGCGTGACGGATGCTGTGGAGAAATTCACGGAATCAATTTCGTTCGACAAAGCTCTATACAAGCAGGATATCATGGGCAGCCGAGCTCACGCGTCAATGCTTGCAGCCCAGGTTCGTACATTTGTTGTGTTCATGTGAAGATCCAAACTTTTGAAGAGAAAATGCAAAGATGCCTGTAAAATTGATATAGTAATGTTTATATTTTAAATTTATATACTACGTATAAATTATTTCCCACTTTAAACCCTATTTGCTAGTATTTTGTTGCTGAAAAAGTCACCTTAGTCGCTTGAAATGTTTGATCAAACAATTTTATTGTGCAAAGTGATTATCATAAAGTAAAATTTGTTGCTTTATCCGCCAGTGCTCCAGACACATTTCCTTACATTTTATAGTAAAATATAATATTCAAATGATTACAGTTGTTTTGCCGAATTGTAGGGATTGATTAATGAAACTGACAGGGATTCAATTCTACAAGGTCTGGCTGAGATAGAGAGGCAAATTGAAGCGGGCGAGTTCATCTGGAGGACTGACAGGGAGGATGTGCACATGAACATTGAAGCAGCGCTGACTGATTTAGTTGGTGAATCTGCAAAGAAGCTTCATACTGCTAGGAGTCGAAATGATCAAGTTCTAACTGACTTTCGTTTATGGTGCCGGGATGCTATTGACAGAACCATTTTGCGTGTCAAAGGTCTTCAGGTCAAGTGCTACTCTACTATAGTGTTGGTTCACACACACACACATATATTTGTATTTTATTTTATTTTATTATTAGGGGTTTTCCTATAATATTACTAAAATAGAACTCAAGAACAATAATATAATGACATGATCACTACAGTCACTGTGAAAATACCGTTGAGGTCACTGCATTGTAGACTTGAACATCAGTATGGTCATTAAGTGTTAAAGTCATGTTTTTGTCCATTATTTGAATTTTATTCATGCATGTGTCATTTTTATTAGAAATAATTACATACCTATGACTAAAATAAATGTTGTTTACGAAATGTAACCCAATTGTAGTGACTATAGTAGTAATTTAGTCATAGTAACTTATGATCAATTTTTACACTGAATTGACTATTAGATTGTACTATAGTACTCCCTCCGTCCCAAAAAATACTTCCCACTTTGGCTTGACATATCTATTAAGAAAGTGAGAATAAAGTGGAATGTTAGCCAAAACATTCCAAAAATGTTAAGTTGGAAGAATTTTTGGGACATCCCAAAATGGTAAGTTGGAAGAATTTTATGGGACGTAGGGAGTAACTATTAGGTCTAATTGTATGAGAGTATGTGGCCTTCATATTTTTGTAAATAAGTTTCATTTGAGTAATATTTTTGAAAAACCTCTTTTTATTGTCGGTTTTATTTTTGTTTTATCCTATTGATATGTTATTCAGATTTCCCGTACATATTGGATATGACTTCTTTTCATATGATTTCATGCAAGTGAAAAGAGTAATTTTATTTCATCCTAGGCTAGCATGAGACTCAAGATACCTTATACCCTGTTATGGTTTCTTAAATGGCTAATCGCTCATGACTTTGAGTATGAAATTATAGGTTGCTTTGATTCAACTTGCCATAATAAACAAGGGTTTGATCGTTCCTGGATATACCCATTTGCAAAGAGCACAACCAGTTCTGCTGCAACATCTTCTCTTATCATATGTTGAGCAGGTTTGTGACATTGTAATGAGATCTATTAATATCTGATGAAAGTAGTAATTTAAATATGAAAAGCTTCTTGAGGTTTATATGATCCACATGTTTGTTAAGTGATGCAATTTTCATGTATATTTATGCACAACACATTTTCTGTATCTATAATTTAGGAAATGCCTCAGTAAAGGATTATATCTGGTCTTCTGTGCATGCCTATAGTAGTTGTTCTTTTCTGCAAGTATTACTTGTCGCACACAGTATATTTTTTGGGTATATTTGGATCTTGGGAAATGCTAGGAAAAGGAAAAAAGTACTAAGAAGAGATATCTTTTGTGATTTATTTTACAACGCAAAATGCAAAGCG